GATCCAGCTGAAAGCACCTCCCCCCCCCCCTTTTTTTTTTTCCAGGGTTAGTTTTCAGCTGAATGAATGAGCTGATCCAGATCATCACACCCAGCTGCACGGTCAGGAATCCCAGCGCAGTGGTGGTAGCAGGAGCACACAGCAAGGGGGAGGACTGCCCCTTTCAGCAGTGATAGGGTATTACATGGGCTAAAGATGACTGAAACCATACTTTGGTCAAGATACAGACAGATAGGGAGCAAAATGATCATTGTGTCAGCAACGCGCAACCTAAACATAGTCGCGTTCATTGCGGTTATGACTATAATTAAGCAGAAAAGGAAAATTTGATGAAATGTTTTAAAGAAGGATAAGTTAATTTTACAGATATTTTAGAGAGCACTGCATTAATATGAAAAAGAGCATTGAAGAAAGTATAAAAAGGAGTGTTTTAAAATATATAAAGTGAGGATGTCAACACAAGTAGAGGTGAGAGCTCATATCTGGATAGCAAGACTGTATTTTGTTAAAACTGAGAAAAAGAAATTTCAGTGAACAAGTTGTGTATGATGAAAACTTAAACACGAATTTTAACTGTGAGAACTGACAGGAAAAATATATATATATATATTTTAGAGAAAGTATTCAGAAAGAATCAACAAGGTTTACCCATAGCCGTGATGTGAGGGCCTAGAGCGAGGCCGGAGTGGATACACAGGTTCTGGGGCTCCGCGACAGGCAAGAAGATGATATTGTCCACAGTGATCAAAAAAGGATGTAGCAAGGAAGGCTTGCGGAGAAGACCAAGAGCTCTGTTTTAGCCATCTTGAGCTTTAGCTGATAGACAAAGTGTCTGTTCATACTGCCTAGGGCGGCTTTGATCTTGTAATTTCTTGCATAGACCGTAGCCAAAGGCAAAATTTAAACGTGAGCATAAATGCAAGCAAAGGGCATGCATGGGCACAACTGAAGATAGCTATGATGCACAGTTGCCTGTACAGAGAAGATGTAAGTCTGAAGTCCCCCAAACCCACCAATATTAATATTAAATACAACCGATATGGTTCAGAAAGTACCTATCTTATACTAAACATGAATGGTCACAGGAAGGATTAGCTCTTTGTAAAGATAATTTACTGTAACTTGAACGCATGCAGTTACCAACTGAGATGTGCCTTGATGTTCCCAGGAAAAAGTATGTCAGGATAGGAAAAAAAGCTGAATAGAGACCATATCCAACAGGAACTGCAACCAGCAAAGCGTATGCCAAACCTGAAATGATATGTCATGACAATTTCCCATTTAAAATCTCTCAGCAGACTAGTATCTTGTCTAAAATAGGGTTAGACTTTCGGACAGATTTATGCCTTTACCCAGATACAATTTAGAATGCATTTTGCACCTGTAATTCAATATCATATCCCAGTTAGCTCCCACTGCAGAGTCTAGCATTCTCCTCCAAAGAAACAAAATGCTGACAGAGCTCAAAATAACCTAAGTCCTGGTCACACTTTTGCAACTCGTGGGAGGCCTGAGAGCAACACACACAGCTATTGATAGTTAGGGACACTTCATGATCCTAGAAGCCTCCTTTTCAGCCATCATTTTTGGCCAATTTTTCATACGGTTGGGAATTTCAGAACTACATATATTTTTTAAATTACAGCAAATGCATATCTGACACAGATTAGATTTGCATTAATTAGGATTTTAATGTATTTTGGAATACATAGGGAGGCATGAGACCAGCTGGTGTACTTCAGTAATACATTGCTCCAGTGAAATCTTATTGTGAGAAAATCAGGCTTCCCCTGCAAAAATATAAATGAGGAAGCTATAGAAAGAGCATAATAGCTGTTCTAGGTCAGATCAAAGGCCCACCTAACCCAGTTAATGTTAAAAAGGAAAGGCGCTCCTGTGACTGAGGCACTACCTTCTGCAGAGATCTTCCAGCTCTGACATCTACTTCCCGCATGACTGTGGACAAGTCACCTCAGTTCTTTATTCCTCAGGTCACTCTCTGCCTGGGGCAGAAGTTTGTAATGCTTCTTTTCTGCTAACCTTTGCCTTACTAGTGCACTTCAATGGAATAGACAGTAGGGAATATTTGTGGCTATTTAAGAAACCATTACTGTCAAAATGGGATCTTGCCTGGAGGGTTTAACTGAAGCACAGGCAATACTATGGTTCCTAGAAAATCCTATAATGTCTTTTCTTTTGGGCGTTCGTTCCTCTAAAATCAATGGGAACGGGAGACACCTTCAGAGGACAAGCTCCCTTCTGCCATAGACAACTAATTGGGAACGAGATAAATAATTTTCTTTGTTGGGCCTCCATGATCTTTGCCCCCCTATGTAAACACTTAATTTCCATTACGGGAAAAGGTGCTGTTGATACAGCCAACTTAACCTCCCACAGTCCTGAAAAACCGTGAAAATAGCGTCGGAAAGAGCACCGTTCAAACCAAAGAAATGAATATGCTGGATCCCATCAGGGTTACAACTAGTCTTGCCTTTGAAAGTGGACCAGATCAGCTGCCTCAGGCAGAAGAATGGTTCTCCCCTTTAAGTCTTTCTTCTCTTAACTAAGATGGTTTCACTCATTTCTGCTTATTTCTGCCACTTTTCTATTTATTCGTCTACTGAATGTTTTGCTAATAAATGTAACAAGGAAATAAGGAAAGCTGAATATTATAAGGCCTGCACTGTAAGTATCCATCAACTTCATCAATTTTTAAAACGTGACTACACCACTACCTCCTTAAGTATTGTTTTCTGCAGATATTTGAATGGGCAAAAAATTTAAAGAAATAGATATCAACGTTGCCTTCATTTGGGGGGAATAACTAGTTTTTTGTATGCAGCTGCAGAAGAGCTATAGGTTCAGACAACCAGGAAACAGAAATAATACATGACTTATTTGGTCCACCCCAACACAAATAAAAGTTAAAATATTAAAATGAGTTTTTGGGCAAAAGGCTCGAGAAAGGGGTAACCACATCCGAATAGCATATCAAAGGAAATTTAAGTCTTCAAGCTGAGCAGGGAAAAAGTAAATTAAATTCATCAATTATGTACTGCAAAATAATACCTAATATCTGGTATCAGACAACAAGCCTCCGATTTGCCATTCCGGCGGCATCGCATCCCGGTGCCGGGCGGACTCGGCGAGCGGAGCCCGCCGCCGCGGCGCCGTGCCGCCATTTACCTTGCAGAGTGGGCACTCTTCAATATTAAAGGAAGCAAAGGATATATAGAGAGGTATATATCCAGAGAGAGAGAGTGTGTGTGTGTATAATGTATAGAGTAGACTGTGTGTGTGTATATATATATATATATACACACATATATATATATAGAAATAAATGCATGTACCAGTGTGGGAAGTGAGGCTGTTCAGGCTATGTCGTGCCTGCCGAGGTGCAGTTTATCGCGCAGGGCAGAGCGGCGAGGCGCCGA